AAATAAATGCTGTTCTTTTGAACTTTCTATTCATCAACGAACCTTGAAAAAATATATCAGAGTTTTACTGTATCTTTGTTCAAATAAATCCAGCCCTGAGCATAAGAGACTTTACAGAAACATTTAAAAACCTCATGCTGATTTTGCTACTGAAGTATAAATCAGAGACTTGAAACATCTGTCTTAAAGCTCTCCTAGTTCTGACTCACAAGACAAGGATTGCAAAAAGTATGACAAGGTCTTTGAGAAACTTAATGGCCCAATAAAAAGCACATTAAAATGTCAGTATTGGAAATATCACCCAGCCCCAGTTGAAATGTGTTACAGAAGCATCCAAAAACAACAGCATGGAAATTATTCCTGGATGTGCATGAAATCGCACGTGCATGAGGCTGCATATACGTGCATGTGGACTGGCTGGAACTATCAGATGTAAATGTGATGAGTGATTAAGAAGAGAGGCAGATGGCACCCAAAGAGAGACTGTCCCAACATCCCACCTTTCAAGAAACAATGCAACACCACCAGCCACAGCTTTACATTACAGGCTGCTGTTTCCACATCCCAAACAAAACAACAACGGTTAGGAGACAGGAGAGCAAAATGGCGGTCGAGGGGAAATGGCAAAAGCGTGAAATTGGGTTTTGAAGTGTTTTTTACTCCAATTGCTTTTCACATCATGTAAGGACAGCATCTCTCTTTTTGTATTTTTCCCATTAATTCCTTTTTTTTCCCCATTAACAAAAGCAACCGCTGTAGCCGAGGGGGCAAACGGCCCACTCTGCCAGTAAAGGACACACAAAAACATGAAAGTATATGTATACTCACACAACACACACACACACACTACTCAAACAACCAGGGCACCTCGTAGATTGTCTAAAGGCTGGCACACACTGCTTTTAGGTAATTGAGTTTGGCCCTTGGAGCTCACCGCTCTATCTTTTAACACAGTGTGCTAGTGAAGTTGTACACTGGGAACATTATAGGAATGATTGCATTTACGCAAAGAGGTCACAGGAGATAAAAATATGCACTCGGATAGCATTTTAGAGACTTTCACTTGTAAAGCTTTAGTTAAACGTCCTGTAATATTATCCTTTTAGTGTTATGCTTTGTGAATAACTTATAGCCTGCTCACAGACGCGTTTCAAACGCTGCGACTGAAGGACTTTGACAGCAACTCAGTCCTTGATATTGGCTTAAAAAGTTTCTTGATATCAGTTTTATTAAATGTTATTCAAGTAAAAATGGTACAGTGAAAACCTGTTAATTGGTTAACTGCTTTATAGGTTAACCTTGCCATATACACTGAAAAATGTTTATAGATCTAATGGGGTATTTCATCAAATTTTACAGTAAAATACCATTAAATGTACAGTATTTGGAAGTTAATTATAACAGTAACACTTTAAATAAGGTTCCATTTGTTAACATTAGTAACAGCAGTATATTGTTAACAGTACATTAGTAATAGCATTATATTTCTAATTTCATTATATTTTAATGGTATTTAGTAAAAAACATAATTGTTTATTGTTTGTTTATGTTAGTTCACCGTGCATAAATTAATGGTAAAAACTTTTGATTTTAAAAATTTGTTTTTTAAATGTTGAAATTAACATTGACCAATATCAATAAATGCAGTAAAAGTATTGTTTATTGTTAGTTCATGTTAACTAATGCAGTTAAATAATGTAAACAAATGAAACCTTTTTGTAAAATGTTACCCGTACAATTTTCAGTGAAACACCGTAAATTGACATTCCCAGAATTCTCTGTGTGACAGCTCACCTTTTATGTTTTTTTTTTAAATAACTTTCTTTTTATTGTTTTGTTATCTGTTATGTACATTAGGGTTTTATGCTACATTGTGTTGTTAAATTAATGTTTATTGCATTATTTAAGTGTGTCATCATGTTACCGTTATGGTGTTTTGTGTGGTTGACACCGTGCAAAGGTAAAAAAAAAAATAAAATAAGATTTTAATAAATTGGAATATTAACATTATTAGTTATAAAACATTTCTGTTAATGACTTTTCTTTACTGTAATATGAAAAAAATGCTTGTTTTTTTTTACCGTAAATTTAAGTTCAATCTGTAAAACATTTTTTACATTAAAGTTCTGGCAACCATAGCTGCTGTTTATTTATTTTTTAAATGTAATTTTTGGGGGATTTTTTTTTACAGTGTATTTTACAACCTAGTGGTGTCAAGGAAAAAAAGCTGACTGCATTACACCTTAGTGTCATGCTGGAGTTGTTGCTTTGCTTGGAAAACGAAAAACGCTTATGTTTCAGGTGTAGTTTACTCATTAGTGGTGGTGGCCTGGCTGCTGTAGAGGTTTAGATGAATGTTCTGCCAATCCAGAGAAAACAATGTAAATAAAGAAGGAAAAAGACTTCTATTCAGGCTTTGCCTTTGTTTGTGTGTGTATAGACCTGTCAGGAGATTAAGCGAAGTATTTTTACAGTCGTCGTTACTGTGAAAATGGAGCATCCTGTGGCATACAGAGAGCCTAGGCTTTTAAATGAGGACATATGGGCTTATTTTGTTTTCAAATAGAGTAAATTGTAATCATTACAAACTACCCCAAACCATGAGAGAAAGCATTTAGTACTTTAAGAATATATATATATATGCACATTACAGCACTATTCCAAATTTTGGTTTAGGTGATTTTTTTTGTAGAAGAAATTAATACTATTAATTACAAAATTATAATTGAAAAAACATTATAATTATTTATAATAAAATTTATGCAGTAAAGATTCATCAAATTGATCAAAAGTTACAGTAAAGACATTTATGTTACAAAAGATCTCTATTGTTAAATAAATCTTTAAATAATCCGTAAAAAAAATTATCATGGTTTCCACATGTATCATGGTTTTTCAAAAATATGAAGCAGCGCATTTTCAACATGATAATAATAATAAATGTTTCTTAATCACCAAATCAGCATATTAAAATAATTTCTGAAGGATCATGTGTGACACTGAAGACTGGAGTAATGATGCTGAAAATTCAGCTTTGCATCACAGGAATAAACAATAAAAAATATATATATATATATATATATATATTTAACAATAAAAAAATAAATACATTTACAGTTAACCAAAGTGCAAATTATCACACTTTCCCACTCAAAGCGTATGATACATGCTAAATAATGCTAAATAAATATAATATAATAAAATAGAAATATCATTATTGGAAACAGTTAGGATCAATACTTTAATGTGAGAATCTATCCAACATGCATACCTGAAGTATTAATATTTAAACAGTGATGCACTCGTCCCTTGAGTTCGCAGCACATGATACAAGAGCTCATATTCAATTAATTCCATAATAGACCAAAAACCAGGAATCAAATGTGAAACCTAGGGCATGCCGCATGACCCATTTAAAAGGTCTTCCTCAGCTCTAAAAAGCCCCGGCAAAGCCTCTCTCATGTGTAATGGATGAAAAGTCTTTCCCGAACGCTGAGGTGAGAGGAATACAGAAGAAGAGAGAGGCTCTTTAAAAGAGCTTCCCTGGCAGTCAGGGATGATTAGTCTCTGTACATACACACGCACTCTTTATCTCTCTCACTCTCACTCATCTTTCTCTCTCTCTCTTTTCCCCTCTCTTGTGCTTGCTTTTTTTGTCCTTCTGCTCGCTTTGTTTCCCCTGACAGTGGACCTTGGAGTCAGCTCTCCATGTCTGGTATGTGGGAAAAGTGAGAAAGACTGAGAGAGAGCGGGAAAAGAGAGAAAACGCCCTTGAGAGTGATGAGTATGCACTGATGTGTGTGCATGTGTGTGTGTGTGTGTGTGTGTGTGTGTGCGTGCGTGCGTGTGAAACTAACAGCATTTCCAAAATCAAGCAGGCAAATACCTTCATCAGCACCTGTGTTGTCCAAAAAACTGTCCCCCTGGAAAAAAATGTATCATGCCAATCAAAATCCAATCTAAATATGATACTAAAGCACACAGTTCTCATGGGTGGGTTGGCAGAAGTGGGCCACTTCCCACAAGGTTAGTGGTTTGATCCCTTGTACAATCTTACACTGCCTACCAAACGTTTTGAAATTGAGCAATGCATCATAACATTGCATGCGCTCTAGTCAGTGTTAAAGGAGCCATTCTAGCATCTAAGATACAAATAAAACAAAATTACAAACCATCAAGAAAACCAACATGTTGACCAAGCATCTCTTAATAAATAAAAATAATTTAAAAATACACACATAAATCTATTTGGTCTGGTTATAATGTTATTTGTTATATTTATATATTATATTATATTGGTTATTTACCATTCAAATATTTTGTAAGTAAATACATAAATAAACAAATAAAAAAGCTACTGGAGCAAAAATAACACAACTTCACCTTTAAATAGGATGTTTAAATGTGACGATGAGGTACAGTACAAAAAAATCCTTGCTTTTTTGTAATAAAAGACCATGCAACATGTAATACAGCTCTCATAATTCAAAACACCTTTCAGAGCCCACCCATCCCATTTAGAAATTCTGCATAAAGTGTTCATAAATTTCATAAATGATTCACAAACTTTTCCCTGCAACTTTATATTGGAACTAACAACAAACCTGCAACCCAGAAGCATGATACTTCTAATTTAAGCGTCAAAATTCAACATATCACCAACAGAAAATGTCCAATTCTCAGTGAAAATGATGAGCAGTTGCTTTGTCGCTACAAATCGCTGTCGGTGTGATAATCCACGTACAGTATACTACTATCGTTACTATGATGTCTCTATTTTATCTGAATTGCATACATAATTGTGCTCATGGCCACAGTATATATGTTGTGGGTACCTGTAGGCCTCTAAAATAGTGTAACCCATTACGGCCCCTTATAAATCACAACTACAAAAAGAGCCGTATGGTGGAAGACTAACAGTAAATATCTCAGAAGAGTCTTGATATGACACCCAGCATGCGAGACCCTCTCATAAGACGTGAACTTGTAAAGGCTCTCACCAGAGTTTGACATGACTGGCTCTTTTTCTTCACCTCCTCCTCAAGGACTTCACACTCCTTTCTTTTCCTGCTGATCTCAGTCTCCTGAGGGAGGAAAGAAAATAAATACTGTTAGATGGATAGATGGATTCAATTTGCTGTTAAGAGTAGATGTGGCCTAATGCAAACACCTCTCTTCAGGGAGGCTGGATGCGGCATAACACACAATCTGTCTATGTATGCATGTGTACGTGTGCAAGTGTCCGTGTGGGTAATAGTACCACATTCTCTGAACCAGTGGGTACCCGTATGCATCATTGATCTATAAATAGCAACCATTTGCTATAGCACAATGTTGCAATGCCACCAGCGAGATGCACAAGTCTAAAAGTCACAATAAATACAAATCCATCCATCCATCCATCTTCTTCCGCTTATCTGGGGACGGGTCGCAGTCTAAGGAGAGATGCCCAGACTTCCCTCTCCCTAGACACTTCCTCCAGCTCTTCCGGGGGGACACCGAGGCGTTCCCAGGCCAGCTGGGAGACATAGTCCCTCCAGCGTGTTCTAGGTCTTCCCCGGGGTCTCCTCCAAGTGGGACGTGCCTGGAACACCTTCCCAGGAAGGCGTCCAGGAGGCATCCGGAACAGATGCCCGAGCCACCTCAGCTGACCCCTCTCGATGTGGAGGAGCAGCGGCTCTACACTGAGCTCCTCCCAAGTGACAGAGCTTCTCACCCGATAGTCCTTCTCCATAACCTCACCGAACTGCTCCCAGGCCTGAGTTTTTGCCTCCACAACCACCCGGGCTGCAGTCCGCTTGGCCTGCCGGTACCCGTCAGCTGCCTCAGGAGTCCCACAAGCCAACCAGGCCCAATAGGACTCCTTCTTCAGCTTGACGGCATCCTTTACTTCCGGTGTCCACCACCGGGTTCGGGGATTGCCGCCTCGACAGGCACCGGAGACCTTACGGCCACAGCTCCGAGCGGCCACTTCGACAATGGAGGTAGAGAACATGGTCCACTTGGACTCAATATCTCCAGCCTCTCTCGGGATCCGGTCGAGGCTTTGCCGGAGGTGGGAGTTGAAGATCTCTCTGACAGGAGACTCAGCCAAACGTTCCCAGCAGACCCTTACAGTACGCTTGGGTCTGCCGAGTCTGTCCAGCTTCATCCCCCGCCATCGGATCCAACTCACCACCAGGTGGTGATCAGTTAACAGCTCCGCCCCTCTCTTCACCCGAGTGTCCAAGACATACGGCCGTAGGCAGATGAAACGACCACAAAGTTGATCATCGGCCTACGGCCTAGGGTGTCCTGGTGCCACGTGCACTGATGGACACCCTTACGCTTGAACATGGTGTTCGTAATGGACAACCTGTAACTAGCACAGAAGTCCAATAACTGAACACCGCTCGGGTTCAGGTCAGGGGGGCCGTTCCTCCCAATCACTCCCAGTCACTGTCGTTGCCCACGTGGGCGTTGAAGTCCCCCAGTAGAACGACGGAGTCCCCAGTCGGAGCACTTTCCAGCACCCCTCCTGGAGACCCCAAGAAGGCTGGGTACTCTGCACTGCCGTTTGGCCCGTAGGCACACACGACAGTGAGAGACCTATCCCCGACCCGTAGGCGCAGGGAAACGACCCTCTCGTTCACCGGGGTAAACTCCAACACATGGCTGCTGAGCTGGGGGGCTATAAGCAAACCCACACCAGCCCGTCGCCTCTCACCATGGGCAACTCCAGAGTGGTGAAGAGTCCATCCTCTCTCAAGGAGTGTGGTTCTAGAGCCCAAGCCGTGCGTAGAGGTGATCCCGACTATCTCTAGTCGGAACATCTCAACCTCACGCACAATCTCAGGCTCCTTCCCCGCCAGCGAGGTGACGTTCCACATCCCTAGAGCTAGTTTCCGTGTCCAGGGATCGGGTTGTCGAGGCCCCCGCCTTCGACTGCCGCCCGATCCTCTCAGTACCGGCCCCTTACGGTTCCTCCTGTAGGTGGTGAGCCCACGGGAAGGCGGCCCACCGTCGCTCCTTTCGGGCTGAGCCCGGCCGGACCCTGTGGGGGGAGGCCCGGCCACCAGGCACTCGCATACGAGCCCCAACCCCGGGCCTGGCTCCAGGGTGGGGCCCCGGCTGCGCCATACCGGGTGACGTCACGGTCCTCGATTTAATTGTTCTCATAAGGGTTTTTGAACCTCTCTTAGTCTGACCCGTCGCCTAGGACCTGTTTACCTTGGGAGACCCTACCAGGGGCATATAGCCCCGGACAACATAGCTCCTAGAGTCGTTCGGGTACTCAAACCCCTCCACCACGTTAAGGTGGCAGTTCAAGGAGAGGGAGAGTTAAATACAAATCCACTAAAAGAATAACAAACGCACACACAGTTCTAATGCACATACATAGTCATGAAAACTGTACACACGCAATGTAAAAAACATGCTCATATCTGTCTATAAAAGCTCCCAAACCCATTTAGATTTAAACCAGCAATGTTAAAAAAATACATTGAAAAGAAGCCAAACAGCCAACCAAAAGGAAGTACATTATCTAAAAAAAAAAAAAAAAAAGAAGCAATTTGGTCTGATTATTCATATGAAGAGTTTGGTTCCAAAACGCGATAAACGCCATTTAAAAAAAAAAAAATTGTTACTGCAAAAATCAGTATTGTATCTGGTTGGTATTGAAAAGTCAATGTTTAATTTTAAGTAAAATGCGATATCCGCCGTGTTATTCTGTCATGTTTTCTCCCTTTCTTTCCAAACCGCGACAAACGCCAGTCTCCCTTCTCTGCAGAATGCGATATATCCGCTCTCAACCAATCAAAACGCACCATTCCACGCAATGTAAACAGTAACGGCAGCGCCTTAAATACACCCGGCTTCCTAGTTTTTCTTATCTATTTTGTACTTTTCGATCAACAAACAAACAAAAAAAATTAATAATTTTGACGCATTGATGAACCTGTGGTTCTTTCTGCGGTGGGTAAGAAACGTAAGGCATCGAAATCGAATCATTTACGTGAGGAGATTAAGAAGATGAGGCACTCGGGAGGAGGAAAAATGTTTTCAATCTTCTTTACAGTTCTTAATAAAAATATTATACTAATAAACTTACGTTGTTGTGTATTTTCAACAGTTTCAATATGAAAAAAAAAACTTTTATATTGATTCAGTGGATTAATTGCATTTTGATTTTTTTTTTTTTAATGGATTTATTGCATTTTGGGGAAAAAAATAATCCGTTTTTATAATAAATCTTTGAAAATCAAAACCTGGATTTTAATTTTTTTTGTTATTATGACCTACAAATGCTATGTGAAAGTTTGAAACAGAAAATAGTGGTTTTCATCTTTCTACTTTCTTGGTAAAGAAAACACTTTTTTACTCAAATTAATCTAAATGGATTTATTGCGTTTTGGAACCAAACTCTTCATATATTTATTCCAAACAAGCAAAACAACGTTATTGGTCTTTAGGGAGGCAGGTGTATCGTGGGCCTGTATGTGGGATTCTGGAGGTATATATACACGTGTGTGGGCTACAGGTGGTCATCTCATGATGCTCATAATGTGGTGTATCAGTCTCAAGAGAGGCTAACATAAGCTGTGTGTGAGTGAGTGAGTGAGTGAGTGAGTGTGTGTGCGCATGCAGGTATTAGTGAATGGCAACATCCATCCTGCTGAGTGACACCTGGGATGGGGAGATAGAACCCAATTTCAATAATAAACGAATATCCATGAGGATGAATGGATGGATAGATGGATGGATGGATGCATGGATTAATGGATGGAAAAACCTGTGTTTCAGAGATACTAGCTATTCAACCCTTTACCAGTTCAGAACACACACACACAGAACACGTAGATGTTAAAAACTGGGGTGACATTACCCCGCCTGACCTTTTTTGTTGGACAAAATAATGGATATAACTTGAATTTGTTTATATTGCATACAATTTATAATGCACAAAAACATATTTATATTTAACATACATAATAAACATATTTGTATATTTTGCAAATGAACTTACTATGAAAAGGTTGCAATTTAAATGCATTAATATGTAAAGTTTATGGTGATGTGTAGAGTTTATAGAAGTATTTGGCACAATAGTCGGGATGTGTAACCTGTTAATTGTTAAAAAGCCTCATTATTTGATTGAGATTAATGTTGTAATTTATTTTTTTACAGAATGTGTGCTCATTCCTGGACCATTATATCAATATAGAGAAATCATCAGATCTAAAAATACCCATTTGAATGATATTTTTTTGTGAATCATGTATCAGAAACTGCAAACAGATATTGTGGGCTGAAGACAACCAGCTCTCCAAACTTAATCCTTTAGAAACAGAGTAAAATGATTAATGGGACATATACATCATTATTTTCTGTTGGCCAGAGATCCAGGTCATCTCCTTACATACAGATTGCACGTCTCTGCAACCCTAAAAAATCAATTTCAAGATGGCTTCCATAACCTCCAGTTTTTGGAGTTCTATGGTTGTTTTTGAGTGGACATTTGGAAACACTTTTTTAAATCTTTATACACACACAACCGATCAAACGTTTGAGGTCAGTAAGATTGTTTATGACTTTGAAAATCTATGCTCACCATGCTGCATTTATTGGATTAAAAATAAAGTAAAAAACAGTAATATTGTGAAATATTATAATTTATACAGCTGTTTTCTATTTTAACATTTTAAAATGTAATTGATTACTGTGATTGCAAAACTGAATTTTGTATCAGTATCCTATGATCACATGATCCAGTTACACAGGATCCTTCAGAAATCATTCTATTATGATGCTTAATAAATATTTCTTATTATTATCAATGTTGAAAACAGTTGTGCTGATTAATATTTTGTGGAAACTATGATACATTCATTGTCTTTTCTGTCACTTTCAAACAGATCAATTTAAGATCAAGTCTAGCTGAATAAAGGTATTATTTCCTTTCTAAAAATACTTACAGACTGGTATAAATATATTATTACCTTATATTATATCTGTAAAAAATAAATATGTAATATATATGTATATATACTCTAAAATAAAGATTCCTACACTCATTCTGAATCGATTATATATCGCCTAGAAA